GCAGCGATGATAAATCTCGGGATCAAATCAATTCTTAGCATCGGTAATTTTCTCAACAGTCTTCTCCATCGTCCTTTCAACATGCCAATCGAACGTTCTACAACCAACCTAGCTTTGGATAACTGTGTGTTGAAATTAATTTCAACTTCGGTCAAGTGTCCATTATTTTTGAATGGGACCAATACATGTTGTTGTATGGAATAGGCTTTATCACCAATCAAGTGAGTGTTGTTAGGGAAAAATTCATTATTGTTACGTATGTCTTGAAGCCCAGATAGACGAAACACACGCTGGTCGTGGACAGAACCAACTTCACCTGTATAGCAATGAATGAATTTCATTGTATGATCAGCTACAACTTGAAGTTGGATTGATGCGTTGCTTTTCCTATTGATGTAACCCTGCCCATTTACATACAATGGAATGTTAATATGCGTTCCATCAACTGCTGCTACAGTTCCTGGGAATCCCCAGAGCAAGTTAAAACTCTCTGCATTGTCTAGTGGATCTTCAGGCCAATGAATAAAACTTTCTCGAATAGCATACAATGCAGAAACCACTCTTCTGACTGCTCTTACTGCAGTAGCCTCTTCAATACAAAATCGACTACTTATTTCTCTGTTAAAAAATTTTCAATATTGTTTCTTAGGTGAAAGATTTATAACGAACATGAAAAAATTCTTAAAAAAAAATGAAAAAAATTCCTATTTTAACCTGTAAGAATCGGGATTAGCAAAAAACCACAGCGCTGCAAGCAGCTGGACTTTTGGTGAAGTTTGTTTTCGACCACATCTGGATGTATTTGTCAACTTAATTTCAATTAGTTCGCGGAGAAAATTATAAGTGGTTCGATTCAGTCGAAAATTTTTACGAAAACCTTCATCGCTGTACTGATCGATTACATTGATGTAATTATAATTACAAATCTTGATTCTCTTTATTTTACTTCTTTGAACTGCAAGAAACGACACTACAATATCCTCCTCTTCACTTGAACAATCTTCGGAGGATTCTAATAAGTGGTTAATACACATAATGGCATTTGTCCTAATGTTTCGAATCCGATTCATTGTTTTTTTTTTTTAATATTAAACTTTCACACGGGCTTACTAATTTTAATACGTATGGTTAAATTACAAAAAAAATACTAAAAGAAAAAGATCAAGTCGAGAATCAAGAGACCAAGATGCAACTCGCTTCGAATCATATACGTAACGAATGCAAAACCCCACAGTTGCGTATATTAAGTATATGTTTGAAAATGCGCAGCGCCAGCTATACGTTCGACGCGACTGACTGCTCATACGCAAGCAATCACGCGGCAATCTCGCAGTCTCGCATTCGTAGGTTTCGGAGCGCTCCCTTTTATTTTCGCGAGAATATCGGAGCGTTCCGATTCTCTTTGCGAGTCGTGCGACAATAACGGAATACACCCANTTTGCAATCGTCTTGACTGGTTTCAGATCAATTTCACTCTCAACCTTCTTTATATTTTTAACAAAATCTTGACCAGATAACTTTTGTGTAACGTCTTCAATTTCTATATTGTCCTTAGGTTTTGCTATTTTTAATTTTTTGGTATCATTTTCACATCCAACTGAAACCTTAAGCAACTCATCTTGCTTAGGTTTTAATCGAGGTGGCCCTAAAGAAACAACTAATCGGCAATGGATTCCCATTCCTCGAACAACTGCTATGTACAGCAAAATAAGTTCCACGTAATTATATATTTTTTTATCTACAATCCTTTGTAGTAGTGAATCTTTGCTAAAAACGATGTCTTTATACTCGTCACACACTTTGAAAAGTCCACCAAACCACTGAGTGAAATTTTCTAGATACTTCAAGTCTAGTTTACCTTTGGGGTAGTTTTGAGAAGACACTAAGGACAATGCTACCCGAAGTACATCAGGATTATTTGCTAGTTTGTTTAAGTGAAACCCGTGTGCTAACCAGCAGAGTAGGCCCACCTTGTGAATAAACATTTGAGTCTTCCTGATCTTCAAATTAAACTTATTCTGCAGCATTTTCGGCAGATCCTGCTGCTTTTTTTTTTTTTTATTGGACATAAAGCTTTCACTAGGCAAGTGTATTTGCACTCCTTTTTCAGGAATCTGCCAATATGGTGTGATTTGTTCTTGCTTGACCTCTTTTACCTTAACATTGCGATTGGAAGAACCAAGTTGGCTCTCTCCCATTATGAGCAGGTCATCAATCTCCTTGGACAGGTCATTTTTGGCCTGAGGTGCTGACAAGGAGCAGACGGTGGTAGGCAGCTCGCGCTCAGTACCTTGCACATGTCGGCTCTTACTTTGCTCGAGATTCTTTAGGACCTGGGTTAAAAGCTCTGCAGAGCTTACTTGGTTATCTTCAAAGTCACTGTCTGAGTCATAAGAGCTTTTGAAGTAAGATACTAGCGGTCGCTTTTTTTGTTTCGGGTTAGAAGTGTTTGTACACTTGGGCTGGACCTGAAAAAAAGCCGAACTGAGGTCAAGTTTGTCAGCTGGCACAAGAAACTCGTTGCTGCTGTCCGAACTACTGCTTTCATCATTGTCAGACATGTTCATTATTTTCGTTACTGTTATTAATCCTAGTTGATAAACTACCTCACTGTATTAGCATAAGCTTTATGCAAATTTACACCATAAGAAGCGTGATATCAAGTTGAGGAAATTAAGGACCGTAACACAAAATAACCAACGAACATATTCCATAGACATATAAAATATAGACAGCTCGTCATTACGATTGCGTTTACGTACATACAGGTTTGTTCAAGCCAATTCTCGGTGAGACTCTGGAACTCTCAGAGAATGGAATGAACACGTGTTCTTCTCCGAGTGTCTCCGAGTGACTCCGAGTGACTCCGAGTCTCCAAGAGACTCCCCGAATAGAAATACAGATTCCGGCAGGTACTTAGCAGGACCAGCTCTGGTGCCTTCAGCTTGGTCTCCGGACCTCTTCCGGCAGTCTTTCCGGACAGTACACAAACTGTTACCAGGTGCATTTCCGGGTAGGTTCAGGCTTCCTTAGGTTCCGGTTGCTAGGAATGGACCGTGGAGTGCCCTTAAGATACCAAGTACAAATTTAACAAATAATAAATTCAACAAACGTCGGTGACATGAAAATAGCGTAGCTGATAAAAATAAAACAATGCAAAAATAATTTAAGGTGAATAAAAAAATTTTATTTCCTAATATAATAAATTAAAAATTATCATGTTTTGTGTGACGCCTTTATTATCTTGTAAGCATCTTGTGCTGACTTAACGACTCTAGCTTTTCTGACCCAAGTAAATTGATTATGTTCATTTGATACAGAATCGTTGAAAACGTAAAAAAAAAAATTTGGGGGGAACAATTTTTTTCCGTTATCAATGCAATCGTAGGACTTAGAAATTTTCTGACTGAAAAGCCAAAAATCAAATTCCGGCCGTCAGTCGATCTAAAAACGCCTCAAGCACACATATATAGCTATAGCTATATAGCTCTGATCCTCTCCCCCTTCTCCACGACTCTCCGGCTTTATCGGCTTCGACTCACAGTGTATCTCCTGTCTCACTTTCTCCTATAGCATTGAGGAAAAAATACCTTCAATAATTTTTACCTCGAAATTTTCAGCGAGACCGAATAAAAGTAAAATACCAAATCGGTAGAAAATTTTCCACTCTACACGCTGGTATTTTTATTTTCGTTCGATCTTCCACCGTTTACGAGATATTAGCAAAATAAGTTTTAAACGCTGTTTTTAAGGCTCCCAAGAGAGTTTTCAATGTTCTAAGTGTTTTTATCGTAATCTACGCATTGAATTACGTATAATATCAAAAACGACCCTTCGAGTATCAACTTTTTATTTCAGGGGATTTTCTATTCGTCTATACATATTTTTATCAAAATATACAGACTGTGGTGCACTATACATGCTCATTACAATAAATTAACAATAAATATTATATATGCGTATACTAGTTTTTTCCAAATGTCTTCTAAAAAAAGGTCTATGATGAAGACTATCTCAATTTAGATCAGGTTTTTACTAAAAAAAAATGGTCACGTCAGGTATGATATTAATTAAGAGTTTGGAAATGGATGCAACAATAAACCCCCTACGTAGGTGGTGACAATGCTAATAGTCTAGCACGGTAACCCGATAAAAAAATAAATAAAATGTACTATGATTCTCTCAATTGCAAATCAATTGCAGTTAGTTGAATAAGTGTTATTATCAATTTTTATGATAAAAATTTAAAAAATCAATCAAAAAAAAGCTTTTTTTTTTGGTGCTTGAACTTTAAAATTAAAAATAAAAAATGTTTTCTTGTAAAAAAATTCCATGATAGTAGAGGTCTAAACGAACTGATATAGCTTTGAAAAATCGTTCAACGATAATTTCTATATCAAAAGGAAAAGTTATGTGACGCAAATAACATTACCTAACAGATTCAGGCACAAGATGTTCTCTTATTTTGCAATAATCAATTGATTATGAATACTGACGTGTCAGAAAAACAGAAGACACACATTTCTGAATCTACAAGGGGTAAATATTGCTTAATTATAGCGAGATTCGTTGAAATATGAAGAAAAGTGAAAAATTGGATTACATGTTATCAATCGAACATCTGATTTTTCACTTTTGGCCTTCAATTTTCAATTAATTTTACCAAGTTAGGGCTTGATTCATTCTTTGAAGTGTCAAGTATGCGCGGCTACTCTTTTTTTTTGCTACAAAATAGCTCGTTAAATAATATTATTAAGCTACACAATTAAAGTAGTTTTATCGATAAGGTACGAAACTTCAACTATCTTCAGACTGTCCTTAAAAGTTATTTCTGATTTGTAAACATTATGGTGTTCAAGTTAAAAATTGTCTTAAAAATCTTTCACATCATTAATGTAAATGTAAAGATTGGATTGGTAAAACAAAAGGATAGTGTGGACGTTGTTCGGACGAAAAATGACTGAAAAGAAAATTTGATTTTTTCGAATTGGTCAGATGTACTTATAGGATTATAAAATAAATTGAGTAAAAATAATGTTAACCAATTGTAAATGCAGTAAACAACAACGTAGATCTTGCGAAGCCCGCTGAATGCAACTTGTATATTAAAATAATGAATGGTGTATAAAAGAAACGTAGTTGTCACTAAGTTACTTATTATATTTTCAAAAATTTACACAATATATTCTAGAGCAATGTAGATTATAACGAGGGTACAAAAACATCCAATTGTAGTGACGCTGATGGTGGAATGCAATTTGTCTTGTTCTCACTTGACATTAAATTTTATATATAAAGTGCTGTACAATCTAAATATAACAAACAAGAATACACTTAAACAATTTTTTCTTTTCTCTGTGATTAATTTTGTGTAAAAAAATATCTTTTTTGCCTAAAGTTCCATGAAAAACTGTAGTACGTTCTTTAGTGTCATAATATTAATAGAAAAAATAAGAAAATAGTATTGCAAATCTTCCATAAAACTTATTCGTTGCGTTTTTTTTTTTGATTGCTGAACTTCTGCCTAGATGGGTCGGTCTTCTTTGTATTATTTGCACTTGCCAAAAGTGCAATATTTTTTTTTCCTTTAGCAAACATTTTCTTCTGTTCTTCTTCATCTTCTTCTGCGTTTTCTTCTTCGTCTCTAAATCTGTACTTGGTATCAAGTTTTTCTCTTATCAGCAAACCCTTAATAAGCTTTTTCCAATTGCCGTAAATTTTTTTTTCACGTTTTTCCCGAGCTCGCATCTGAGCTAAGACTTGTTCTTCTTCCCAGGCCTCACGTATCGTATCCTCGTATTCTTGGCAAACGACGAAGCCCTGGAATGCGGGTAATGCACCTCTGCATCCAAAGTTAAAGCCGATACACGCAGGTGCACAATCGATATTTAATTTTCGAGCAACTCGATTTAATGCTGGAACTATAAAATTTTTTAAAGATTTTTCTATTATTTTTAAGACCTCATTGGAAATTTTATTTTTACAGATTTAAGGAATCGAATAAAATACTTACGATCTATATATACACAGCCTTTTGGAAGCATGCATATTTTGAACAGATCAACATTTCCGTATTCATTTCGAGGTACTTTACCATCCTTTGCTTCTGATGGTTCATAAGGAGTAGTCTGCCACTTGCCAAATAATTCCAAAGGTTGATCCTTTATTTTCTGTCCAGAGAGCTGGAATGGATAAAAATAAAATTATTATAAACTTACTTAATAACTAATTGCAAGAATAATCATAAAATTATTCGTAACATTACCTTATCATACTTGGGCATAGATTTAACTATTTTGTAAGCATCTTGTGCTGACTTAACGACTCTAGCTTTTCTGACCCAAGTTTCTCTAGAATACAAAGTGTGAACACAATGTCTAGAATATATAGCTTCTCCAGTTCTTAAATGTCCTAAAGGTACAACATCAGGTGGATACAGAGCTTCAAACTTTAACAAATGCCTTTGTAATACATACAGTGGATGACCTTTACACTCTGAAACCGTTTTTGGAAGAGGCTGTTCCAGTTCTCTATAAAAATATAAAAAAGTTAAATTATGATGCACAAGCTGGAAGAGAAATTATTTACAAATACTTTTGTAGAAGCTGCTCGTCTTCTGCACTAGAAATCGCTGTATTTTTTTCTTTCCAACTCGACAGCGTGTCTTTCCACCATTTTTCATCAATTCGTTTTTTTCGAGTGTCTGTCAACCAGTGTGGACAGTATCGACGTGTTACATCTTTCAGTGTTCCTGTTGAATTCCATGCAATTATGTACAGTATAGGTTGGCTTGCTTTTTTCTAAAAAAAAAAAAAAAGTTTTTTAATGTACAATACTAAGTCTTCACTAATCATAATATTTTCATATTTAGTACTCACAAAAAGTTGTGAGACACAGTGTATTTTTTGGTCTAATACACTAACACTAATCCAACTTTCCTCTGATTCAAGGTAAACTTCTACCCAAACGTTGTATCCTTTTTTGTCTGATCCTGAAGATTCATCATCAGAAGATATTAGCTTTCGTTTGTTCTTTGACTCAAATGCAAATTTAGATATAATGGATTTTTCTAATGTTTTGTTGTTTGTTGGTGTTGACAATTTTCTTTGAACCACAGTTGATAGCTTCCTTCTTTTAGGCTTCGTCTCTTCAAATTCACTATCAGTTGAATATATTTCCTGAGAGGAAAATTTTTCTTGGTCAGACAATTCAGAAGAATCAAGTTCTTCTTCAAAATCAGATATTTCATCATTGGACGAGTGGCATGTTGTTTCATTTTTTTTGACAGCTTTAATTTTTCTTGAAACTGAACTTTTATTTATCAAAGCACTAACATTTTTTGTTTTTTTATTAACCTCCAGACCCAGCGTTCTTACTATGGGCATATTTTGTTCATTCTTTACTTCCTCATTTTCTATATTATCACTATTATCTTTAGTGTTTTCTACAATTTTACTTCGAACATTTCTACAAGCTCTTTGCTTACTTTGAATTAAAAAGTTTCCTGTTGTTGCTTTCGTGACATCATTTTCTTCAATATTTTTGTTTTTGTCTTTACAACTAAGTTTTCCTTTCAAATTGATGTTACATACGCTTTTCTGAACTCTAGTATTTTTATTGCATAAGCGGTTTTTTCTACCAACTTGTTTACTTATTTTATCACTATTTTCATCACCTTTATCTTTTTCCGTGCTGTTTTCCTGTACATTCAAATTCGTATTTTTGTTATGTGTTTTACTATCTTTTCTACTCGTAAATTGAATACTTTTATAATCACTCATATTGCTATTTTTTTCTGGAGTTGTTTTACTAGTACTTTGAGCATCATAACTAAAACTAATACTTTCAAAAACATTTTTACGATTGCCCAGTCGAGTAGCACCATGCTCTTGTAATAAAGCAACTGCTCTAGCTCTTGCTTTTTCACTTGCAACTTTTAAACCCTCAGGACTATTTTTAGGTACCATTTTTATTGGGGAAACTGACCGTCTATTGGACTGCTTTTTATTTTCTGAGGTTTTGGCAGTTTTCTTTGCAATCGTCTTGACTGGTTTCAGATCAATTTCACTCTCAACCTTCTTTATATTTTTAACAAAATCTTGACCAGATAACTTTTGTGTAACGTCTTCAATTTCTATATTGTCCTTAGGTTTTGCTATTTTTAATTTTTTGGTATCATTTTCACATCCAACTGAAACCTTAAGCAACTCATCTTGCTTAGGTTTTAATCGAGGTGGCCCTAAAGAAACAACTAATCGGCAATGGATTCCCATTCCTCGAACAACTGCTATGTACAGCAAAATAAGTTCCACGTAATTATATATTTTTTTATCTACAATCCTTTGTAGTAGTGAATCTTTGCTAAAAACGATGTCTTTATACTCGTCACACACTTTGAAAAGTCCACCAAACCACTGAGTGAAATTTTCTAGATACTTCAAGTCTAGTTTACCTTTGGGGTAGTTTTGAGAAGACACTAAGGACAATGCTACCCGAAGTACATCAGGATTATTTGCTAGTTTGTTTAAGTGAAACCCGTGTGCTAACCAGCAGAGTAGGCCCACCTTGTGAATAAACATTTGAGTCTTCCTGATCTTCAAATTAAACTTATTCTGCAGCATTTTCGGCAGATCCTGCTGCTTTTTTTTTTTTTTATTGGACATAAAGCTTTCACTAGGCAAGTGTATTTGCACTCCTTTTTCAGGAATCTGCCAATATGGTGTGATTTGTTCTTGCTTGACCTCTTTTACCTTAACATTGCGATTGGAAGAACCAAGTTGGCTCTCTCCCATTATGAGCAGGTCATCAATCTCCTTGGACAGGTCATTTTTGGCCTGAGGTGCTGACAAGGAGCAGACGGTGGTAGGCAGCTCGCGCTCAGTACCTTGCACATGTCGGCTCTTACTTTGCTCGAGATTCTTTAGGACCTGGGTTAAAAGCTCTGCAGAGCTTACTTGGTTATCTTCAAAGTCACTGTCTGAGTCATAAGAGCTTTTGAAGTAAGATACTAGCGGTCGCTTTTTTTGTTTCGGGTTAGAAGTGTTTGTACACTTGGGCTGGACCTGAAAAAAAGCCGAACTGAGGTCAAGTTTGTCAGCTGGCACAAGAAACTCGTTGCTGCTGTCCGAACTACTGCTTTCATCATTGTCAGACATGTTCATTATTTTCGTTACTGTTATTAATCCTAGTTGATAAACTACCTCACTGTATTAGCATAAGCTTTATGCAAATTTACACCATAAGAAGCGTGATATCAAGTTGAGGAAATTAAGGACCGTAACACAAAATAACCAACGAACATATTCCATAGACATATAAAATATAGACAGCTCGTCATTACGATTGCGTTTACGTACATACAGGTTTGTTCAAGCCAATTCTCGGTGAGACTCTGGAACTCTCAGAGAATGGAATGAACACGTGTTCTTCTCCGAGTGTCTCCGAGTGACTCCGAGTGACTCCGAGTCTCCAAGAGACTCCCCGAATAGAAATACAGATTCCGGCAGGTACTTAGCAGGACCAGCTCTGGTGCCTTCAGCTTGGTCTCCGGACCTCTTCCGGCAGTCTTTCCGGACAGTACACAAACTGTTACCAGGTGCATTTCCGGGTAGGTTCAGGCTTCCTTAGGTTCCGGTTGCTAGGAATGGACCGTGGAGTGCCCTTAAGATACCAAGTACAAATTTAACAAATAATAAATTCAACAAACGTCGGTGACATGAAAATAGCGTAGCTGATAAAAATAAAACAATGCAAAAATAATTTAAGGTGAATAAAAAAATTTTATTTCCTAATATAATAAATTAAAAATTATCATGTTTTGTGTGACATGGGTAAAGCAGGATCATACTTTTTCAACTCCATCAATAAAAAATTGATGTATCCATTAGCTGGCTTGCACACCCTTGCATAGTCTATCAGGACCTTTGCAATAAATGATTGTTCGGATTTTTTCCCGTCGCTATCTTCATTAACATATTCACTGGCACAGCTGCTGTAACATTTTCGATCATCATTACTTATCATTATCATCACTATTATCATCATCATCATCATTAGCAGGAGCAAACACTGCTAAAAAAAATAAGCTGATTTGTCAGCTGAGAAATCAGCTGATTTCTGATGCCAAATCGTCAGCTGATATTTTGACTGTGCGAAAACATACAAGTCCCATCAGTGTGAAAAAATGCAAGTCCCAAGAAAAATTTTTTTTTTTGCCATCATCAAAACTATGCATTCTGGGACTTATACAGTAGAATGAGATAAGTGACACCTGTGAGTTTGAAAAATTTTTCGATAGCCAAAATTACAAGTTCCGTACGCTGAAAAAGTCCCGTCAGTACAACGAAATGCAAGTCCCGACGAGAAAATTTTTCTTTTGCCATCATCCAAACAATACGTTTTGGGATATCCACAATAAAATGAGATAGGTGAAAATTAAGAGGTTTGGAAAATTTTCGATAGCACAAATATACGACATTTACAGTAGAATGAGACAGGTAACAATTAAGAGATTTAAAAAATTTTCGGTAACAAAAATTACAAGTTCGCTCGCTGGAACAATATAAGTCCTATCAGTGCGAAAAATGCAAGTGTATAGACGGAAAAATTTTTTTTTCTCCATTATCGACACCATGCGGTCTGAGATATTTACAGCACAATAAGAGAGGTGAAAATTAAGAGGTTTGAAAAGTTTTCGATGGCAATAATTACATGTTCCGTGCGCTGAAAGAAGTTTAAGGTAGTTATATCCCAAACAAAAATAATGATGAAATTTTCTTGAACTTTACCTAAGTAATTATTTCCTATTAAGAATTCGGTTAAATTTTTGTGAGGCTAGGGTTCCTCGAAAGCAAAGTTTTGATATATTCACTGTTTTCATACTTTAACATGGATCCTTACGGAGAAATGTATTTTTCTGGGCTTTAATTGCGTATATCCCATAAAATAATGGTAAACTTTTGACGATATTTTTTTTTGTATTTCAAAAATATGGCTAATGATCTTATTTAATTTTATGAAACATCTCGAGGGTGTTTGTGAGATAAGAAATAAATTAATAAGTGCAGAAAAAGCTGCTAAAAGTTATGTTTTAGCACAAGTGTGAGAGGGATAGATGACATACCAAACTATAGAATCGGCTGTGTGACATGGGCACCCGAACTGTTTCTAAAAATCTGCAAAAATAGCCAAAAAATTGAGCGTAATTTCCTCGAATTTCCGCTACTCGTAAAACAATTGCGCGTGACATACTTCTGTAGTAATTAATTATTATTTGCGGGTGCTGGGTAAATTTTCAATCATCCATTACAATAAATCTATCACACGCAGCTTAATTACAAGAACGCCATTAATTTCCGCGTAACACGCAGAATAAAATTGACTCTTGAGTTGTTATAAACTATTAACAGTTATGTAGTGCGCAAATATTTATTTATTTGCGTATTACCATATCAACTATACTATATCTATATAAATGTTGAAATACGCATGCGCGAGAAATTCGCTCCAACAAAATCGTCTGCATCTGGGATGTTATGAAAGCCTATATATATGTAGTAATACATACACTGATAGGTATACACACCATAGTGTGGACAGTTAAAAGTTTTGGAGATTGGACTTTGGAGTGTTTGCGTTTGGACGGTTTGGAGTGTATAGTAAACAAATAAAATAAATATACGGCTGTTGTCAAATTTCGGTTTTAATTAAATAATTTGTATTTATTATTGTGTCTAGCGCCAGTAAGGGCGGCATCACTCATACTGCGAACTGCGAACTGCGAGTCCTGTGTATTTTTGCCTGTAAGTCCTCTAATCGGTAGTATTAGAAAAATATATCTTGTATAACCGATATAACCCCTTTTCAGAGGACAAAGTTTGCCCACCGACTGAGCACCGCGTCGTCTCTATCTACCTATTGTTCTTGAAAAGAAAGCCAGTAAGGTATCGCTTAAGGCCTCGTAGACGACGGTCCTCCGATTTTCTTGCTCTCAGAGATCCGTACAGCGAGTTCAGCTGGCCACGTTGACGAATAGAAAATGAAGAAGTTTGGCCGCTTCTTAAGTTTGGCTGCTTCGGGCTGCTTAAGCTCATGCAGGCTGATCCCACCCTGATCGGTCGCATAATGCCCCTGACTTTTGAGCTGCACATCTTCGAGGCTACTGCCAAGGATGCCATTGGCATTGTATCTCACGACAGTGATACTGGGGCCAAGTGCTGTATCGCCAGGACTGAGAATCAAGTAATTACGTATCTGAATCTATTATCTTAAAAATAAATTTAATTCTACTTGGGTTTACAATATCTCTGCGCACATCCATTTAATAATTTTCATAAAAAGTGAAGTATAATTTTTTTTGTGTATAGTGTTGGCAAATTTGTAGAGATAAAGGGGTTATATCGGTTATACAAGATATATTTTTCTAATACTACCGATTAGAGGACTTACAGGCAAAAATACACAGGACTCGCAGTTCGCAGTTCGCAGTATGAGTGATGCCGCCCTCACTGGCGCTAGACACAATAATAAATACAAATTATTTAATTAAAACCGAAATTTGACAACAGCCGTATATTTATTTTATTTGTATACTATACACTCCAAACCGTCCAAACGCAAACACTCCAAAGTCCAAACTCCAAAACTTTTAACAGTCCACACTATAGTGTGTATACCTATCAGTGTATGTATTACTACATATATATATAGGCTTTCATAACATCCCAGATGCAGACGATTTTGTTGGAGCGAATTTCTCGCGCATGCGTATTTCAACATATACATAGATATAGTATAGTTGATATGGTAATACGCAAATAAATAAATATTTGCGCACTACATAACTGTTAATAGTTTATAACAACTCAAGAGTCAATTTTATTCTGCGTGTTACGCGGAAATTAATGGCGTTCTTGTAATTAAGCTGCGTGTGATAGATTTATTGTAATGGATGATTGAAAATTTACCCAGCACCCACAAATAATAATTAATTACTACAGAAGTATGTCACGCGCAATTGTTTTACAAGTAGCGGAAATTCGAGGAAATTACGCGCAACTTTTTGGCTATTTTTGCAGATTTTTAGAAACAGTTCGGGTGCCCATGTCACACAGCCTATAGAATCTGCTGCATTGACAATATCGTGGGATACAACTACCTTAAGTCCCATCAGTGTGACAAAATACAAGTTTCGACGGAAACATTTTTTTTAGTCCATCAAAACAATGCGTTTTAGGGCATTTACAGTCAAATGAAATAAGTGAAAATTAGAGGTTTGGAAGATTTTCGATAGCAAAATTTACAAGTTCCGTGCGCTAAAAAAAGTTTAAGTCTCTTCGGTGCCAAAAAATACAAGTTCCAAAGAAAAAAAAATACATTTAGGAACATCAAAAGTCTGTACTTTGGGGCATTTACAATAGAATGTGACAGGTGAAAATTTTTTAAACCTCTCAATTTTCACCCATCTCATTTTACTGTGAATGTTCCAAAAGCCATTGTTTGGATAATGGCAAAAGAAAAAAAACTTCCGTTGGGACTTGTCTTTTGTCACACTGACGGGACTTATACTTTTTCAGCGCACGGAACTTGTAATTTTGGCTATCAAACATTTTTTTAAACTCAAAATCGTCACCTGTCTCATTTTACTGTAAAAGTCCCAGAATGCATAGTTTTGATGATCTCCAAAAAAAAATTTTTCCTTGGGACTTGTATTATTTCGCACTGATGGTACTTGTATTTTTTTGCACCGTCAAAAAATCAGCTGACGATTTGGCATCAGAAATCAGCTGATTTATCAGCTGACAAATCAGCTGATTATTTTTAGCAGTGAAGCGATACTTGTCAGCAAACATTTCCCGTTCCTCCTCAACACTTTCACTCAACTCTGATTCATCAATGAATAAATCATAATTTATATGATTAAAGCAGTGTATTTCATCGGAATAATTATTCATGTCAATACCTTTTTCATATTAAATAACCAAATTCTGAATGTGTATTGCATCTCTCACATTGATGGTTTTCGGAATTTTTTTGTTCTTGTCGAGTTCTCCGGCTTTCCGTTTTCTTATACATCGCATTTAAACTTTCTTACAGTACAAACGAGATTCGAACTTTTTATCGATAGTACATGTTTATTTATTACTTTAAAAGTACTTATTTGTATACAACGACAATTTGGAGTAATCGGAGCAGAACCTCTAAGTTGAAGATGGATCTTCAGGGCCGAGCATGGTCAGTATATGGTTACCGTACCTTCAGGTCACCTAAACTCGCCCGGA